TTAGCTATTAATTGTTTTAATTGTTGTTGCCTTTTTCCAACACATTCATATTCAATTAGTAGCAATTGTCGAATTTAATTATTTTATTATTTAGCTTTTTAAATTAAATGAGCTACTTGTTGTAGCTAGTATGCTTTAGCATGGCAAATATCAACATCTCCCGAGTGGAAATTTAGGGCGATACTTGACAGTTAGGAAAACTATTAAGTGTAGTGGGAAAGAAAGAAATAATTGATTAAACGAAATTTCTAGAGTTTATAGTTATATATTTAAGCATCATTTACAAATTTTTTTGGATACGGAATGATATTCCGCCTTTGGGAAGCAATTGCCCGATGCCTCTCGCATGTGCATTTGTCGGACGCGGGCAGGATGCAGGTCGCAATTTCTATCGGAAACAAAAAATTTAAAGAGATTCATATTTTTTAATAATTTATCTTCTAGTTAAACTAAAAAAATCTAAAAAAGAGTGCAAAATTTTAGAATTTTTTTTTAAATTGAAAAAAAGTTTATGTTGTTTAAAAATATGTTCAACTTGACTTTCTTAGTTTTTTTAGTTTAACTAGAAGATAATTTAATGCAAAAAGATAGTAAACTTCGGTCTAATTCCATACGATGTTTAATTTTTTTTCTATCCTGCCAGCCAATTAAGAAGAATCGTAAAAATGAAAAACCGAGAAATCGCGCGTCAAAGTTTTCGCATTCTCCCCAATCGCTCATATGTCTGCTAGACGCTCGGTCACTATTTTCCTTCTAGCTTCGAAAATATTTAAAATTTTCATCTAAAACTTTAAGGACATATTCTTAGATTATTTTTAAAGAGATTTTAGCAAAAAATAATCGATTTTTTGTAGCTTCTAAATCAGGCTTCCCCCTTAAACAAATTTTTCTCTCTGACCTTTCCTACAATGTTCTAAACTCATGTAATATCCCTAATAATAAATATGTGACTTTGATAAGGTTCTTGAAAGCTTCTTATGAAAATTCATTGTTAGAACTTTTTGGACATAGCTCTTTAACTACCTTAACTTTAACCAATAATATATAAATATCGGCTTCAGAATCCAATAATCATGTAGTATATTGTATTAGAAGGTCTCATTTGGTTAAGGGTTGGGCCATAAATTTCCAAAAAACAAAAAATACTATTTTTTCTTAAAGTATCCTGTAGGGTCATAAAAAACAATTCAGTTGTTGTAATAGTAAAAAAGTAATAATTTTCTTTGAAATCCCCATTATTCATCCAGTAATCGCCATCTTCTATTGAAATGTCAATTTACCTGTTTAATAAACACTGAAATAGAGAAGTATGATTATTTATCCATGTTCCCTGAATTAATTGTTAAAGTTAGACAAAGAATTTACAGACACGCGTTTGGACGTTGCCTTAAATTATAAATTCAGTCTCTTTGGAGATGCAAAACATACCATCTTCGTTTTGCCATTCTCTGAACCCTGCTTTCTTAAGAGAAAAAACAAAGGTAAAGAGTTGAACTCGATTCAAAGAATAATTTTTTGAAATATCTTTCTTTAGGTGCCCTATCGAAGATGGAAAATTTTCGGCATATTTTACTATCAGTAAAGTTCTGCGAAAGATTTATGTACGATGAGCTGTACGAGATATACGACGACATTGACATAGTTCAGCGAATTAAAAGACAGCGGCTACGCTGGCTAGGTCATGTTGTCCGGATGGACGAAAACACTCCAGCTCTGAAAGTATTCGACGCAGTACCCGCCGGGGGAAGCAGAGGAAGAGGAAGACCTCCACTCCGTTGGAGGACCAAGTGGAGAAGGACCTGGCTTCACTTGGAATATCTAATTGGCGCCACGTAGCGAAAAGAAGAAACGACTGGCGCGCTGTTGTTAACTAGCGGTTTCACCATGCGCCAAATCTTGAAAAAGACCCGTGGAAGAAAAATCGATACACACCACCTCTTCGTCGGTTTCAAAGCTGCTTTCCACACCACGAAAAGGAGATGCCTTTATGCCGCGATGTCTGAATTTGGTATCCCCGCAAAACTAAKACGGCTGGGTAAGCTGACGTTGAGCAACACCAAAAGCTCCGTCGGAATCGGGAAGGACCTCTCCGAGCCTGGAAATCGAATGCAGGATAACTCTAGCCAACAGGTGCTACTTCGGACTGAGTAGGCAATTGAGAAGCAAAGTCCTCCCACGAAAAACAAAAACCAAACTCTATAAGTCACTCATAACTCGTGTGCAGAGGCCTGGACGATAACAACAACCGGCGGGGGAAGCACAGGAAGAGGAAGACCTCCACTCCGTTGGAAGGGCCAGGTGGAGAAGGACCTAACTAGGCTTGGAATATGCAATTGGCGCCACGTAGCGAAAAGAAGAAACAACTGGCGCGCGGTTGTTAACTCGGCTATAATCGCGTAGGCGGTGTCTACGCCAATTAAGAAGAAGAAGTACGTAGAAGATGTGTGCACCCAATGCCAATGCCAATATTGGTTTGCAAAATTCTGTTCAGATTTTGAGGATGCACCACGTCTTGGAAGGCCTCTTAAAGATGATGTGGATAAAAGAAAATCGTTGGTCGATGTAAATCGCCGAATAATAACTCGAAAGATTGCTGAAATATTAAATTTTTCGAATGTCGAATGCAACTAGCACAATAAAAAATAATAAAAACAAAAACAAAATTACTTCGTGAATGTCCAAAATACTTACATTTTTAAATAATTAATACAATATGTGAAGTTTCCGAATTCACACCTGTCAACACTCGACGTTCATTCTATGCAAGTTCGTAAGTATACTATATATTTGTTAGACAAAAGAGCAACAAAAATTGTTGCACTCTCCGGTTTGTTGCCACTTTTCTTGTCTGAAGTACTCGTGGGAGGTCATTTGCCACTTCGTACGCCCAAAACTGTACAAATAACATACCACCGAGCCTTCGCAATATCTGTACGATTGTTTATTCATATGTATGTATGCACATATGAGGAAAACTTGGGTTATCTCAAAAGTTTGCCGGTAGTTTTTCACCAATGTTCTTGCCCTGTGACTTTTCATGCGCACAAACGCGAATATAAATATGTTCGCACATACATGTAATGTGTTCGTATATACATATGTAAAAAGTATGTGTGTTATAGATCAAGTCGCGCCAACTTGACTGAGGAAAACAAAGCTATATTTAAATAAAAACTCAAACCAAGCAAAGTTTGTCTGCCCCGTTGGCGGTAGATGTGTGTGCACGCATGAAGTACATATGTACTTACATCCATCTAGCTTTTCTTACACTTTTTATATACATATGTACATACATACCTACATTTGTATTTCTTGTAAGTCTGTGCCATATTGGCTTTCGAAAAGTTGACGCCAAGCACATTCTAATAAGCGCATTCACCCAGTGATATTTGCCGGCGAGTAGTTAAGAATTGGCAGACGCTCGGGATGTATTTTTCTTATCTTTTCTCAAAGGTGCACACACACAAACACTACTCATACTATAATACACCCACAACCACCGATCGGTTGCATTGCCAGCAGTGCAACAGCGCTTCATTAGCCGGAAATGTATGAAATTATATATGCCGCCATTCAATAGCGTTCTACTTTCAGTATTCAGGAAAGCCAATCAGTTAGTTGGGAAAACTTTATTTGTGCCGGCTCATTCATTCGCTTTAGAAACACGCTGATAATGTTAACAAAGTTGTGCCGAGTTGAAAAATGTTGTGCTACTTAGATTCTTCCAAATTACGTGCCGTCCCAGATATGCACATTTGTCTGTCCCAAAGTGCTGCGCCCTCTTCTCGTTTATAAATTCGATTCTTATTCAGAGTTGCCAAATTAAATGAAAATATTTCCATTGATATGTAACATGTTTGGTAAGTTTAAAGTCTTAGCACCCCACTTAATTCTTCCTCAATTTTCAGATGTACAATAGTAACCCTAGTAATAACCCCTCCTGAGTTTTGTATACTGCTGAACATTAAAGTCCTAAGTCGGACTCAACTCCGAACCGTGTAGCATACTTACACTATCATCACTGGAAATGATGGCATGTATTTGAAGGTAAACGACTGCTTGTTCTATCTTCTTCAGTTTTTCGCTGCTTCGACAATAAATCCACAGCATTTATTAATTGAACGAGAACATACCGGATCTTAACATTTTTTGACGAGGCCGAAACACTCTTTCTTTCCACACAAATTACGATCCACCGTTGTTGTTCTACCGGGCACCTAGTTCCCGTTAGGATGGTAAGAATAAGCCCATCGAGTGTGTTATTGTCGACGTCATCTAACGGAAGGCCCAAGAAACGTGCTGCTTCGATGGGGGCGGACTGAGGAGAGAGGGATGTTAGATAAGTGGGTTTGGTGGGGCATGCAAAGAGGTGGCCAGATCAGGCGGAAACTCATTGCATTCAGGACATATATTTTATATGTCGGGGTCTATTCTGAATAAGTAGGAGTTTAACCTTATACAGTATTCAGAACGAAACTACAGCCATTTATGACATATGTACCTTAGCAAATTCCAACGGCTTCGACCGCGATCACAGCGAAGACATTATCACCTTAATGGACCCTCTCTTGGTGAATGACAACAAAACAAAAACTCGTGAACTCCTGCTTATCCAGAGTAGATATTGACATTATCAACTTATGTACAGTCAAGCTGTCGCTGCATGTCGTTAGCTACCTCTTCACATATATAGTGAATTCTACACTATATTTTTAATAGTCCAACCTCGTCGGGAGAGCACGTTTCTGGGACATACCGTTACATGATATCGATGGCAAACAGAAGTCTTATGAAGTTTCTATAAAACAACAATCCCTTTTCCTTTGGTTCAATATTATTAAGATAGCTCTTTCTTGTGTCCTTCCCTGAGATGCTAGTCCTTAGATTCTGAATGGATGGATTATGCGTAGCCCCTTTAATAATATAATATATTAAAATCTTTCATTTATTTCCCTAGATTGTGTTAATTATAATGTAAATATGTTGTCCTCTCTTTGCAGATCGATATTCAACCGCCCGAACGTGAGGTTGTTTTCTCCGAAGAGTTTCGTCCCACAGACCCACGCAGCGTTGGCCCATGCGGTGGTTTCAGCACACAATATGCTTGCATGTGTGATTTCCATGGCGTGCCCTACAGGTGGTTCAAACAAAACTCATACAAACGACTAACATAAATTATAATAAGCAATTTTTTTACTTCGCAGAGAGGAAGTCGCTTGGGATATCGATACGATTTATTTATCCCACGATACACGCGTGCTGAATTTACGTGATTTTGATCATTTGGAACCAAAGTACGGCAACAAAATATTTTATTGTAAAGAATAGAACTAGTCTAATATATCTTAATTGTTGTTGTTGCAGAGACTTAATGGCCATTGTGTCCGCATTGGAGTATAACACATTTTTTCGCGGTCTAAAAGCATCACATATGCGCCTCTCCAATGAGACTTTGGAGCGCATTCTACACGTGCTCAAGCGTTCAATGTGGCTGGAGGAGCTGCATTTGGAGGCGTTAGGTTTAAGGTATGGCCTGCAGTCACCCGTATATGTCAAAGATCTATAACTTACTGTTTTTTTTTTTTTGGTTTTTGCTAACAGATCGGATTTTCTGCATAAATTAGCTGTATCTGTGATTACAAACAACAATCCCGCAATACGTACGATCGATTTGAGTCATAATTTAATTGAGGATAAAGGTATGTTGACCGAATGTTGTATGTTAAACACACATACCGACATATAATACACACATCATTCAAAGAAACATAAATTCTTCAGCTCAAATGCATAAAACAAACTAATTAATACCCACTACTACTAAGAATGAAGAAAAAAATACTAAACAGTTGTACATAGACACACACATACTTGCATTTAATACCCACTTTTATCCAACAAAAACCCTTATACGAGTAAAGTACATGTGTACAACTATATGTGACCAGCGACCCTTTAAATCTAATGTAATCCAATTTAAATTACCACTCTTCCACTTTTGTAATGTAGGAGCAAGCTCATTGTGCGCCCTACTTGGAAAAATTGTGCAAGGTTTGATTTTTTTGTTTTGTGTACGGTTGATGATGCATAGTTAAATGTTAAAAGAAAGTTACACAAATTTGATTTCCATTCCTAAGCGAATTTGATTTCTTAAATGTGAATAATTCGGACACTCAAATATGGGAAATTTCTAGCTTTGAATAAGATATATGTATACTCATTGTTGAACAACGGCTTTAAACTTAAATATATTATTTAAATTCGACAACTGTTTTAATTAAAATTTTACTGAAAACTAATAATCGCATGCCTTAAGAACATATCGATTATTTCTATTTATTGCATTGTGTATGTATTTTATTTATTACTCAGCATCATTACTACACCGATACAGGAACAATAAGCTCCAAAAACAAATTATTGCTTCCTTTCTCTAGCTATAAATTCGAATCTCAGCTGAATAATAATCACCTGTTTAGTTCCAAATAATGTTTTATGTCTGATTTATTCTATTTTGGGAATTGCAGTATACTCAGCGCATCTTAGGTTAGGCGCATCCATACTTGCATTAGTATTCAGTTGGTAAATTTTATTTTGCATTCAATTAAATAAAAACTGATACAAAAAAAATTTTGGTTATCCAATGACACTTCGCAGAAAATATTTAAGTATTAAAAAATAATATTGGCAGCATTTTCTTAGGGTAACTTAAAAAAAGACAATTTTTAAACGCAATTAAAGTAATTATTTTTTTCAGAAACTTTATTTGTCTTTGGCTTCATTGAGTAGTAGAGGGAGTGTTTGTAGGTAGCGAAATCTCTCTCCATTACTAATTTCATTACTGCAATTAATGCTACTTTACTTTAGTATCGTTTGAAAAATGAGATAGATCCGCAGAGTTCATTTAATAATAAGAAAACCACTCTCAACATTGTTTTGAAGTGCTTTCCTTTGATGTTATGATCACTAAAAATTAAATCAATTGTTCCATATAATGTGATAGCAGTACAAGGTGCGTTCCAAAGTAAACGAGACTTAAAAAAAAATAAACAGAACAAATGTTTTTTAGGCAAAATCAATTTATTTCATTCAAAATAGTCTCCATCTGCTTCAATACAGCTTTGGCACGGTCCAAAAGCATGTCGAACGGGTGTTTTAGCTCGTTGGCCGGTATGGCCACCAGTATTTTGAATGGCCTCTACGTCTGCATAACGCTTTCCTTTCATGGGCAAACACATTTTTCCGAAAAGGAAGAAGTCGCACGGTGCAATATTAGGTGAATACGAGGAGTGGTTAATGGTTAAAATGTGATTTTTGGTTTTTTTGATCATCATTTATGTCCTCACGACCACTTTGAAAACGTTGAAACCACTCTGCTACAGGATAGACTCATTTTCGCACCGATAACACAAACATACTGACACTTAAAACGCAATAACTTCACTTCCAATCGATAAAGATAGCAGATTCTAACGCACCAAGACAAAAAAAAAGTGGAGTGCATGTAATCCAAAGACTAACCGAAAGTCCATGTGATAACAATGAAATACAGTTTCCGAATATACAGTTATATTTACGGAAAGCCATACCAATATCTGCAGTTTTTTCGAACAAGATTCGAAATTTGGTAAAAAAAAAGTATTTGTCCAAAAATTGGTGTGCCTCACCTAGTACCAGCAGTGTATATTTACAAATATGTATGCATGTACATACATATATTATATATAATAAAAAAAAAAACAAATATAAAAAGAAGTGCGCTGAGTGTAAAGCTTTCTTAAATATACATACATATATGTATGTATATAATTAAGTTTTTCTACCTTCCAATATGAACTTACTTAATCTTTATATATACTTGTATATACCATATAGCATGTTGCATAAAACCGTTATTGTAAAAATATAACTTTGATTGAGGTGTTACTGCAATTTTATTTCATTCTTGAGCATATTATTGTTCGCTCTGCTTCTTTTGCTGCTCAATTACGTTATTTAAAAAAAAGTGCACCATTTATAATATATCTTCTCTTTAGGTGCTATCCACTTGGCAGGTCCCATTGCCAAGGTTTCGAAAGGTCTTTGCAAGCTGGCGCTCGCCCATTGCGGTCTAACATCGAAGGGCGTGAATCAGATGTCACATTCATTGTCTCTGAATCAAAGCATTTCCAATTCACTCACACATTTAGATTTAAGTGGCAATAGTCTCAAGGACGACATAACAGTAAGTACCACCGTATACATATTTGTATTTTTGTAGTTTTGTGGTTTTGTCCGATAGAAATAATAATTTTTTCTTGTTTATTTCAAGAATTTACATAATTTCCTTGCACAACCGAATGTTTTGGAACATTTAGATCTCTCATCGACTGATATAATCTTGGAGAATGTAAGTACTTTTCAATAACACAAATTAATTAAAGGCAATTACTTAATATATTCTACATTTACAGTTATTTGGTGCCCTTTTACGCGGTTGTGCAACGCATTTAGCTCACTTAAATGTTTCACATAATTCTTTTAGCACAAAAAAAGGCAAAGAGATACCGCCATCGTTTAAGCAATTCTTCACCAGCACATTGAGTTTAAAACATTTAAATATTGCCGGTTGTAAACTGCCAATGGAAGCGCTCAAGTAAGTGCAGAGTTAAAGATATTTAGAAAACAAAACCGAATGGTTAAATAGACTGGTGTTAAATGTAAGAATGATAAAAATCAGTCACAATAAAATAATATAAATTATATTTATTGCATTACAAGTAATAATAATTGCATAAAAATAAAACCAGTAAAATTCTTTGTTTTACAGAAACTTACTGCTCGGTTTAGCCTGCAACGAGTCCACAGCTGGGCTGTATTTAGATTTAAGTAGCAATACATTAGGTGCCCAGGGCGCGCATGTTTTGGAATCATGCATACATGGTGTACGAGTTTTACAAAGTTTAGATATAAGTGACAATAGTAAGTTCAAGAAGTCGAATAATAAAAAAAAATATGTACAATGGAGGCCAAGAAATAGTTATGATTTTTTTGCAAGCTTTGGCAGTTTAATTTAATTAATTGAATATATGGTTTATCCACATCAAAATATTAAATATTACTAAAATTTTATTTATTGTGATTCGAAATGTTGCCAAAAATGTCAGAATTTATTCGAAGTTAGTACAAAAAATTTAAAATGTATTTTTATATATTTCTATCCAATATAATGTCAGAAAAGAAATTAGCTTCAAAATTTGTGTTTGGGTTTACTTATGTTTAAAGTTACTTTTTGGCCTCCTGTGTGTGTGTCATTATATTTCTATCAATTTTCAACTACTCTACTTTAAATATTGTTTGTGAAAGTTTTTTAATTATTTTATATTTCCTAGATTTGGATGCCGAATTAGCTCCCGTTTTAACAGCGATTTCGAAAAATCCCTCAATACGTACACTTTACATGACACGCAGCCTGACCGGCATGAAATTGAAACATATTCCCACCGTTATGGACGCGCTCGTTAATCTGATACAAAAAGACGACTTCCCATTGGCTGAGTTGGTGATCTCTGAAAATAAGTTGAAGAATGATATACACGACTTCATTAATGCCCTTGGCAGTAATCAAAGTTTGCAAAAACTAGGTGGGTATTTTTTTCTTATTCCTGCGTTGCTTTCTCCCGCTTTAGTGTTAGGAATAGGAGCTATTACTACAGTTCTTCTCTATTATAATTCTGAACTGACAGTCAGTAGAGTTGCAAATACTGCCCTAAAAATAATTGAATTAACATTTGAATTATTTATTTAGTAATCACGAAAATTTTAATTAAAATTTATTTTCTAATTTTCATTCTCAAATCTCGGAATGAGAAAAAAGTAATTCCAATTACGGGATTAAAAAAATAAAAAATTTCAATCCCAAAAACCAGGAAAATTTTATTTTTAGTCGCTATATAATTTTCTATACAAAAATTTTTAAATTGAAAAAAAAATCGTAACCCTGACACACATCACATTTTGTTCATGCTGATTCTATATTTTTTCAGACATAAGCGGCAACTATATGGGTGACGTCGGTGCGCGCCTGCTCGCCAAAGCTCTGCAAATCAACAACAAACTGCGCACAATTTACATGGACAAGAACAACATAACACCGCAGGGTTACGGCGACATCGTCTACGCTTTAGAAAACAATCACAGCATGCGCACCATACAATATCCGGTTTTCGACATTACACCACACATGAAAAACCATCCGGAGAAGACCGATGCGATTATGCGCAAAATGCAAGAGCTTCTACAACGCAACTGCAATGGACTGAAGCGCGCCAACGGACAAGGATTCCGATTGCAACATGGTTTCATGCTCTCCTCCACACACCAACTGGTCGATAAGCTCGTGGCCGAAACACAAGATAACATCTCAGTGGCTAAAGGTAGCGATTCGTCGGCAGTGCAGCGGCTGATCGATGACGCCGAGAACTGCAAACAATTAATGCCAAAATTACAGGAGGCTGTGCGTTGTGAATCGCATCCGGTGGAAATAAAGCTTACACGCATCGCCAGTGACCTCAGCTACACCATACAGGGTTATTTGGAGGAAACATTGGAGACCATGCTGCGCACTGCTGTCGAGCAGTGTCCCAAAACATTGGGCAGTCAAATGGTCGTGCAAGACTTGCGTAAAGCGCTGAGTGAGCGTCTACAAATACCCGAAGATTTTCTACAGAGTTGTTTGTTGAATAATGCCGGCAGTGAGATCATGAACAAAGTGGGGTAAGTTGTTGTTGCTAATTCGCTTGTTTTCGTGAGAGGCTCAGCGTTTAAGTAATGCAGAAAAACTCGCACTGTATGAATTGGAAACTGCTACGCGTAGTGAGACAAGCTTTTTAGTTGGGGAGCGTGGTTTTTAGATATTACGATAAACATTGCTTTTGCGCTTTGTGAAAAAACGAGTCTATAACACAACTATTTCGTAATTAATAAAAAAAAAACGGAATAGAGGATTGGTTAAAGATAGTAAAATAATTGATACCAGTTATCATAAATTATGCCAAAAACAAGAAAAAAAGTTAACTTCGTTTTTACCATAGCTAGAATACCCTTCACAGATAAACAAATTTTTACATACAAGTAAAATACATATACTATAGCGGTCCGATCTGCAAAATTGGTTCGCTAATTGTAGCCTTGCCATCCAAAACAATATACTATAGTGGTCCGATATCGGTGATTCCAATAAATGAGCAGTGTGCAGAATTTCAGATCCATATTTCAAAAACTGAGGGACTAGTTCACGTATATACGCACAGACAAACAGTCGAACATGGGTGAATCGATCCTAAGGTTGATGATATATACATATACACTTGAAAGAGTCCGGGATGTGACGTTTCCTTCTTAGAGTATATTAACGTTCAGGGTATAACAATTTTAATAATTTTTTGTGTTGTAAGTTTAGAGCAAAAACCCACTGTCTCTGTTTGATAATAAGTCGCCCGTGCTTACCTAGAGCTGGTCGCGGTCAGTGTGTGAGTATACACATTGTTATGTTCATTGCTTACTCATAGATAAGATTAAACATTAGCGGCGTACTGTATTGTATTTGCGAACGAACTGAGTAAAACAGAAATATGAAAATGAATTGAAGAAATGCAAATGTAAAAAAAATGTTAAATAAATAATAAAAAAGCTATAGAGTGAACCCGTTTAGTGCGGCGTGGAGATTAATTTTATAGCGATATCAAAAATATCCGACAATATGGAAATCAATAAGCAAAGCTGAGTCCGCGTAAAACAACATCACAAAAAACAAGCAGAGGCAGCAAACAAAACTTCGCAGAATTCTAACTGAAAGTGGAGAGTAAAGTATAAATCTGTTTCAAGACTTGGCTGCTGGCGCTGTTGTTGTGCTCAAAGCTAAGCATTACCTCAGTGCGCCTACAACGCTCAACCGATCAAGAGGAGCCACTGCTATACACGGAGCGTCGACAGCTGTTAGAGTGCGGGGAACAGCTGATGGGGCGATTGGGTCGCATGTAGTGCAGCATAAGGGAAACATATAGTTCTTGCAAATCGAAAGTGAAAGTGCAAAATAAAAATAACAAAATAGCAACAAAAAATTGTTCAAACCAATGGGACGCGGTTGGTGTGGTTGGTGTTTTTGTGGAGCGCGCGGTGACAGTAGCAAAATACCAAATAGAACGCTTAAAGAAGAAGCGGATGAGGAAGATGATGAGAATTTTTATAAAGTGCGTTACGATCACACTACCGAGAAGTTGTTGGGACCAAACGCCTTTACTGAGCAAGACGCGCTACAGTTAAATGTTGCCAATGTGCCGACACAAGATGACGCGGAAGCGCAAACTGATAGGGAGGCATTAAGAAAGTGATTACGTTTGCGTTTTTAAACATTATAAAAATTTTCCTGTAGAATATACTATGTGCATACATCTAAGGCTATGCATTTAATATAATTTATAATATATAAATATTGCATGCGTCGTAACCTTTATTTATTGAATAATTATGTTTCTTGCAGTGAAATCGAACAATCATTGGCGGCATCCATCTCTGACCGCGCCACGGACGAGGTGTTGGAGGCGCTCACACGCTATCGGCGCGGGCTGGGCATTGCCGATTCACCATCTGTGCTGCTCGATGAGCCGCAAACACCTGATATTGTGCGCAGCCGTTCGAGTCATGTAAGTAGCTGACAAAATAACCCACAAAATACGTATTAGCTGGAGCAAGGTGCAATAATTGCAAGCAATTAGAACTAGTTGACTTTGAAATGCGCTGGTACTTTTTTGTTATACACACAAACATGTTTTTGCAAGAAAATTTTAGTTGTCTTAAGCTCAGACCGGCACCCATAAAAATTTCCAATTCCTTATCAGTTTTTCATATTTACAAATACTTAACTTATGTATAGTTTGTTGTTGCTGTTGCAATATTGTGTTTTTCGTACACCTTTAGCTTCTTCGTTTGTTTTGCTGTTATCCTACTGCCTACAATGCCGTCATCGCCGGGCGAAATGCTATATTAATTGTGTATTGCGTGTGTTCAACAATTTGGCCTTGTTGTTTACTCAATATGCCTTATCGCCGTTTGATAAATTTCAAAAATGGTAGTATGGCGCAGTACCGTTGGCATGCAAGCCCATAATGAATTGAAACACTTAGGGGCATCTAATGCAATATTTTGTCAATTACAATACGCGCATACATACATCAATGGCACTGAATGTACGAAGAGTTATTGTATCGCGCAGCTGCGCTCTGTTTCTCTCCCAGCGTAAAATATATGTACTTCGTGCTCACATGTTTTGTGTTCCATAATGCACACATCCACAAACATATCTTAAGCTGTTAATAAACGTGATTACAACGTCAGTCAGTTGTTATTGTTGTTGCAGCGGCATTTCACAAAAATTATTTTACGATCCCCAAATAATTCCGGTATATTTAACAAAAAACGATTTGCATTATCCGTGGAAACAGAATTAGCTTCTTTTGCCAAAAAAACAATAACAACATATGTATATGTATACTTGTATATCTCCGGCAAAAACATTTTGCAGTCAACTTAAAAGTTTTGAAAAAAATGAGAGCCTGTTCTATAAACAGTGTTGATAAAAAAGCTTCGAAGAATGCTCTCAAATATTATTTGTATTAAATGTTAAATGTTACAATTAATTAAATATTTAATTTTGTGTGAGTTGGTAATATTCCTTAGTTTCTATACTTCGAAGAGTCAGAAGATAACGTCGAAGACACATAAAATAAATATATGTATAAGTGCAGTAGGCCAACTATTTGACCATATCTGGGTGTTTTTGTTAGAATCCTTTTTATTTGTAATGCCAAACCAACTTTTTTTCATATAAAAGCAGTTAAAGAAAATAAATACATTTTTTGTTTGATTTGAAAGAAGTGTTAAAATCATCTGCACATGTGATTAATTGCTTGACAAAAACTTTTTTTTTTTTACTTATTATTCAATATGACCCCATTTTGCTTTGATTACGGCCTCAATCATTTTTGGGCATAGGCTGGACCACCTTTTTGCAGAAATCCCCGCTAATATATTTGTCAGTAATTTTGCGCTTTTTGCCATAAATCGTTAAGATTCTGACACTCACCTGGCGTATCAGAAATCACACGCTTGACTTCAACCCAAGCATACTCGATTAGGTCGAGGGCTGGCGATTAAGAGGCACAATCGAGTATTTTAAATTTATTGTTTTGAAGCCAAGTTTTACCTAGGTGAAAAGTGTGTTTCTTGTCATTATCTTGCTGGGAGACGACGTCCGACACGTCCTTGCCTTACACTTCTAGCCTCCTGCACAAATCTTGTTAACGGATGTCAACATATGGATTGGCAACTCTTACTCACTACCATACTTTTTACATTTTCATACCCCCTCCAAACTTCATCATTGGGTGAACAATACAGCTAGTCAAAGGTTTATTGATTTTCGCCGACGGTATATTTCCGATCATATGTCATGTATCCAGTCATTTGGGTGTAGATTTTATAGTTTTTTGCAAATTGCACACTCAATTTACGGTTTCGTTTTGACGAGAGTTTTTTGTTTTTTCAGTTTGACACGTCCGTGCAATGTGTTTTAGCACTATTTCTTCCTTATAATTTTGTGCACGTAATTTCTCTGCCAAAAAAGAATCGCCTCTACAGCATATAACTGCCATACAAACTGACCAATCAAACTGAAAGCTTATCTTCACGAAAATTGACAAAGATTATTTACCAAAGCATCACTACCATCTTCAAGCATATTGTTCAAATCGCACCACTATAGCTTATAGCTACAAGTAGTACTTTCTTCTTCTTTTTATGCCCTTTTATACGTAGTGGATATGTGAAGGGTATTATAACTTCAGTGCAGACGAAGTTAATGTTTTTTCTTGTTTATTATTATTTGTAATTTTTATTTCTATTTCTTAATTACCCATTGTGCACGAGTTGACACATTTATTTATTTACATGTGATTACTTGCAGTTTCTCTTGGCAATTTATTCTTCTAACCGTATGCAGCATCTTGGCGATGTTATATGCCAGCGCACATTCACCTACTTTTTTATCATCTGACGCTGTGTATAAAGTCAATATTCCATACGTCAATATTTGTTGAAAAATTACAATACATAAAATACATTTTAGTACCAATTTATTTTAGATTAAATTAAATTTGCTAAACTCTTCTTCGCGCTACCGATATAAATGTATTATTCTTGTACTTTATTTTCTAACTTTCTCCTTTATTTTTACTTGCAGGATGCGGATGGCCTGATAATACGCCCCGGACGTGGTTCCGTTCTACCCAAAATGGGTCTGGAATCGCCCACTGTAAGTTTTGCCACCCTCACACACACACACTCCATTGGATAGACCACATTTTCGATATCAATCAACCTATATGTCTACACATATCTATAACTACATATTTGCATAAATTAGAACAGATGCGTGATTCATAGTCATTCCCCATTTAACAACTGAAAGCGCAGCATTAAACCAATGCAAATACAGATGGCAATTGCCATATTGTTTAGCAAATGGCAAGCACTTATGAAAATTTCGTGCTAATTTTCGAAATTCGTGTAACTCTTCTTAGTCATAAATATTGCTTTAGCTATTTTATTCTATATAAAAAGAACTATATAAATTCTGTATACATATTTATGTCAATTAATTCAGAGCAAAGACAGCATTTATTAAAACACAGCAGAAACAGCAGTCGAAAGTAGCTAACGATCTAATTACACACACACTCTAAATACGCTGATATCAAAAATTGCAATTATTCACTCGCACTTAGTTACTCAGTAGTCACTATACACACCCACATGCGCACACATTCAAACATACACAGATATATTATACGTTAGTAAGCCACTTTGTGTACAGTAGACCACTACACACACAATTCCACAGAGATTTTAGCTGACAACAAAGAGTTTTACTGTTCCTTTCACAATAATCAGCAGATATTTTTATATTAAGCATATATGTATGTAATTATACATTATATAAAGAAATTCAATTAAAACATTTGTGTTTTGTTTTGTGTCTTCCCCTTTCTACGTCTAAAAATAACAAAATAATATATATAAAAACAAAAACAAACTCAAACACAAATGCATTCTTCACTCACTTTGCATATGTTTGTTTGTGTCTGCATATTTCTACAAAACAAAAAATACCGCTAACAACGCGCTTTATCAATTTAATTGTTGTTGTTTTGTTTTAATATTTAAAACGTAATTGAAATAAACATTATAAACTACTTATTTTAATATAAAAATATTAATTTTTTTTTTTTTCAAATATTTTCTTCAAAATTAAACATTTTCGACATCTTTCCAATTCGCATACAACACTAAAAACAACGACAATCATTCATTCCCAACGCTTTCATTAAAAACTTGCAAAATTTGTCGTCTACAAACACCTTACTAATATGCAAAACTATTAACAAATTAACGAACGTCACAAACAAATCAAACCACAAAATGTTCATTCATAAAGAAATTGGAATATCTGAACCTTGTAAGTAGTGGCCTTCATACATATTAATCGCACAAATGCCTGTATTTGATTTGCTACTAATTATTCTATGTTGGCACGATTAGTGTATATGTGTGTATATAGTTTTTGATTACTGTTGAAAACTATATTTTAATTAATTAATATTTAA